GTAAGTAGTAGTAGTAGTAGTAGTAGGTATATATATATATATATATATATATATATATATATATATATATGTGTGTGTGTGTGTGTGTGTGTGCGTGTGTGTATATAAAGACATATATATATGTATATTTATATATATATAATATAGCATAATATATATATATATATATATATATTCGGTCCTTTCATATATTTGTGTGTCTTAGGCAGTTTGGCAGTGTTATTACTGATACACAACAGCGTATTGGTTTTGGGACCTACAAATATATCATAGTGTCTGGATTCCGCTATTTGAAACCCCACACTCACACTACTTTTAACCCCACTCACATTATTTGTTGACCGTCCTGGCAGATTCGAGAAGAGGATCTACATTCCACTCCCAGAAGCCAAAGCGCGTAGTGAAATGTTCAGGCTCAATGTGGGGGACACTCCCAATTCACTCAGCGATGAAGACTATGAGAAACTGGGGGAGCACGCAGTAGGCTACTCAGGCTCAGACGTGGCTGTGGTGGTGCGCGATGCGTTGTTTATGCCGGTGAGGAAGGTGCAGATGGCCACCCACTTTAAAAAGGTGAGTAGGTAGTACAGGCCATATATTGAAATGGGTGGTTCACCCACTTTAAAAAGGTTAGTAGGTAGTACAGGCCATATACTGATATGGATGGTTCACCCACTTTAAAAAGGTTAGTAGGTAGTACAGGCCATATACTGAAATGGGTGGTTCACCCACTTTAAAAAGGTTCGTAGGTAGTACAGGCCATATACTGATATGGGTGGTGCAGTGTGTAGTGTAGTGGTTTGTCGTGAGTTGGGGTGATAGGGCTGTATGGTGTTAGATTTGTCCACCTGGATCAACCCGCTTTGTTTGTTGGGTTTAGGGTTTTTGTTTTCTTCTTGTTTTTTTCTGCCAGTTAGGTAAGGCTTAGTTGGCCAGACGGTCTACAAAGGTGAATGTCAAGACTGAATCTCCCACACCAACTGAAGTTGATACTTTTGCTTTGCCCGCCGTACCTGCCACACTGCCATATATAGCAAGTGTCGTGTGATCAGTGTGGTGTAAGTCTAATATGATAAGTGTGTTGTAAGTCTCATATGATAAGTGTGTTGTATATCTCATATGATAAGGGTGTTGTAAATCTCATATGATAAGTGTGTGTTGTAAGTATCATGTGATAAGAGTGCTGTCCTATTCTAAACATAGGTCCGAGCGCCGAGTAAAGAAGATGAAACGCAAATGCGTGATTACTTGCAGCCGTGTTCGCCTGGCGATCCTTTTGCCATAGAAATGAGCTGGACTGAGGTTGAAGGGCCGGACCTCTTAGAGCCGATGGTTACAAAGGTGAGTGTTATAGGAGGCGCGTGATAGGGTAGCACTTCACTCAAAAACCCCTAGAACCTCAGCCTTCCAAACCCTAAAATCCTAAAACCTCAGCCTTCCACGGGCTTATATGCACTTGTATAGCACGTTCCAAAGCCGACGCAAGGGTAGGTTTTTTGACATGGGTTCATGAGCCAGCTGGCCTGTGCGGATGATATGTTTTAGGGTTTTAGGTGTAGTGGAATGCTACGTGTCCGACAGGCCTACGGAGTGCATTGGACTACCAGTTGTCATGGAGACATGTTCACAGCTTTACTGAAACCATAACATGTTTTGTTTATTCTGTGTGTATGATGTCGAGTACCAAATGTCGTCGAACCGAATTTGTGTAAATACTAAAACCCTAAACCCCTAAACCCTGTGGGTACTCCTTTAACACATGTTGTACTGATGTTTGTACTATCAGATGTCAGCCTGTTGAACTGCTGTTTCTCATGTGTGTATTTAATATGTATCACAGAGAGATATGGATAAAGCACTGATCAATGTCAAGCCGTCGACGAATAAAGCGGACCTGGTGGAGCACGAGAAATTCACCAGCGAATTCGGACAAGAAGGCTAGATGTAAGCAATTAACGGGATAACGAATGTACAGGGCCAATAATAACGAATAATAAATAGACGATGAAATAAAAACCTACTTACATGCCAGTAGAATCTATAAGTTAATCAATAGGATGTGTGGTGTTTGGATCATCGTTGAAAACATCAAATAGAATACACATTCTAGTTAGGGCATGAAATTTGCCAATAAATGTATGTGAATCATAGCCTTCTGAAAATTGAGCAGAAACACCTGTGAATGTTTTTGTATTCTATCTCGAAAATCAAACGACAAGAAATAGTATGACCCGAATCCCGATGGGCCGTCCAGACTTCATTCCGTTGTTCGACAAAAGGGAACATAATTGAAAGTAAACCTTAAAAGTGGAACCTTTAGACGGGCAGGAATAGAATAACGTTATGCGATCCAATGGGGCTCATCTCAAATTGGTGCAACTCAAAGAATACGTTGGACGTAAAGGTATAGAGTTTCGGTCTAGAGTTGAACGTACACGTATGAATGGGTAAGAAAGGGACAATCGAACATACTAGGAAAAACGATCAGCATTTATTATGAGGGAATATTTGTTATGAATATATTGTACCTGAGATCCCAATATTGCACCCTTATTAAACATATAGAACTCACTCTAAAAAATCCTTGAACGCAAACATAAAATGCATTGATTTTTCTAAGTTCTAATGCATTAAAAACGTTATGATTCTGTTCCTCAACTCGCCGTCATCGCCCTTTATTAATTTCCCAATTTTAAATATTTTAGTGAGTCTAGTGTTCACTTATTTACAGTCGGTTCTTACTACTTGTCCCTGACCGTCACAGACTGAAAAAGAGACGTCTAACGAGTGGACACCCCTACAAGCCATCAGATTGGCCGAGAGGTTGTGGGTGGTTTGACTGTAGGTTGTGGGTGGTTTGACTGTAGGTTGTGGGTGGTTTGACTGTAGGTTGTGGTACTACTGGTACTATGAGTCACAGGCTATTTAAAACTGTATAGTATATATTTACAGCAGACATTCAGCACTATATACTTGCGTTAACTTACAGCGGCCATAGCTACAGCTGTGATATTTATCACATGTGTGTGTGTATTGTAATCTTCTGTGAATTGGTGTGTGCTTCGCTTCAATCCAAACTCGGCTATTGCCAAGGCATCAAAATCACAAGGGTCACATTCTCAACATATTTAACAGACTTT